TAATCACTGAATGGCGATCGTTTGTATTTTAAAGTTCAGAGCGGTATATTGATAGAAAAACACTATTTGACATAAAATTCTAATATAGTTAATATGCAAACTTAGCAACGACTGATTATTAAAATAAAATTAAAGATGATATAATGTAAGAAATCAATACGATCCCTAATTATATGCATTATGTAAAAATAATCATGCAATTGTTATGATTGACTTAATTGTGAATGACTTTTAGCATTTTGTTGATTAAATTAATCCATTTTTTTTTTATAAAATATACAAGTCATGAATTTCGTGGATGTTCCCCTTAAGAAGAGTTAAAAGAGTGGTTTTACAGGCATTTTTCGCTGCAAAGTAATACTTGGCTAAAATAAACTGAAACCATATAATCAAAGCTGAAAAATGATGATATTGACATAACATTATTTATGTTTTAATCATGGAGACTTGTAACAATTTTGTTGACAATAATAAAGTTAAATGCAAGTACAAAAGAGTTGTACAAAAGTTCTTACAAAAGGAAAAAGAGGGAAAGATCCTGGCTTTTTTTTATTAGTCTTCATCTAACACATTAAACATCATGTAACTACACATATCCCTTGAAAGAAAAATCTTCTAGCTTTTACATTTTAGTTTCAAATCAAGTTATATGCTCCAAAAAGAACACAATTATATATTAATTTTTTTATGTCATTATTTATATATATATATATATAGACACACACACACATACACATTAAACCAATTAATGAAGGATAAGTCTGATTCTTGTGGATTTGGGATTATACCGTAATCACGTATGAGTTGCGATTGGGCTGCAAAAATCCAAATTTTGGAAGCTCATCACCAATAATGTATATCACTAAATTTATATATATAAATATTGATGTGTTGTATATAAGTCTGATATTTTAGTTGTGTGTGTAACAATTATTGGTGCCAAGACTATTTGCTATGCTAACTATAATTGAAGCCCCAACCTTATTGGTTTATCCATTTGTCCACGTCACATGCATGATTTAATTTTAGTTTTGTATTTTAATTTTTTATTTTTTGCATTACCCACACCTAGTATAATAATATTTTCAAATGTAATATACTCTAACTCCTGAAATATAATAANATGAGGAATTATTGTGTCTCCATTAAACGGATGAATCCAAAAAAATTAGTTAATTACATTTTTCTATTCATCATTCACACCTGAGCAATGTGTTTTATTTTTTAATTTGCACAGGTGACAATTATAAAATTTAAAGGCAGAAGTCAACACACAATTGAATTGTTGCAATATTGTTGCTTGTTGATAGGTTTTTCTTGCTTTCCTACATGGACGCCATATTATGTCTTTTGTTTTTCACTTTTTAATTTTTATGATTATTAATTCCATGTAATATACTTTTTTTGTTAGATTTGTTGTGCCTGCGAGTGAGAACCCAAAAGTGACTGATTCACACAATCTCAATTCCAACTATGATCAACCCACTTTTTCAATGCACAAACATCTCCACAATACAAATGAACTAAAATCTTATCCCCTCCAAGTCATATATGGCTTTTGATAATTTGCTTTTATTATTATATTATTATTATCATTAGTATTATTGTTGTTGTTTGCTATGAGTCTTATGGCTTTTGAATGGTGTTTGTCTGCAGAACTCAAAAGAGACATAACTTTTGCATATAGGTTAGAAATCGCATGTTTCTGATAGCGGAACGACAATTCTGATTGAACCCAGTGCCTAGCGCGAAGTGAAACTGGGTCCAAATTCCACCATCCCCATCCTCTTTGGGACATTTTATTATTTTTAGTTTTTCTTATAATATATCTTTCTTTCGTTGGAAGTATGTTTGTCTGCGCTTTACCCTCTCGTGTTAGTACTATGTTATTTTACTAACCATTGTGGTAACGAGGGAGTGATAGTAGGAATTAAATATACAAAAAGATTCATTGTTTCGATTAGATGTCGAAACGAATAGTAGTGGCTGGTCGAATCCGAACTCAATTAGAAGAAGACAAATATTAGGTCATAATTTTTGCAGCCTAAGTGAAAACTGAATAAAAGTGCAGGGGCGTATCTAACTGCCATAGCATGCAACAAATTCAAATAAGGTTGTAAATATGTGAAGCCAAGCATTGGCCTTATAAAGTTTGCCTCTATTTTTTTCACTGCTTCTTGAGCTCGACTTTTATAGCCTGATTCAATTCAACAAAGATATACAAATGCTCAAGATTGATTCGAGTTTCATCAGCTTATATTTTACTCAAGTTCATATCGAATTGACTTGAATTAAACTCCTTTTAGGTATTTAAGTAGATTACATTTATATTTATAGTTTAAACAACTCTCCGAGCACTCGAGCTTATAACTTACAATTTCGTGTTCGAGTTGGGTCTTTTCGAGCTCGGTCAAATTCAATCTCGAGTTGTACTTTTATTTGAGCGCTCGCAAGTCACTCGATTCGTTTACTTCTAGACCACCAATCAATTCAAGGCTTGGGAAATTGAGCCCTAGCTCAACCCAAACACCATAAGGTTCGGGGTAGTTTACATATGGATCGTGCCTAAATTTGACAACTCCAATTCGAACTTTGATACAAGCAATCTTCCAAATGACAATTGACAAAACATACACAGCTTATTTCTCTCTACAAATGAAATTGATGCCATATTAATTGGCTGTAGCCACCATCCTCATCTTCACAAATCACCAATCCTTGTAGTGCTACAAAAAGGGGCCAATTCCGTTTTGTTAAATAATTAGAATAAAAAAAATAATTATGTTACATAACACCACAGGTCCACATCAAATTTCCACCATACTTTAGGAGGGACTTATATATTAATTGGAGAATATTGTTTTTTACTAGGCTCAATAATGCCAATTTCCAATTCTGTTTCAAGCAAAATCCAAATAAAGGCAATAAAGAATTATGAATCCTATAATTGATAATTTGATGAGACACTAGTTAGAAGCAGCACAATGTTGGAAAAATTAAGTCTAAAATTGGAGAATATTTCAAGTAATATAGGAGGAAACAAATTTAATAACTGACAAATTAACCAAATATAAAAATTAAGAAGCTGAGTTTAGAAGAGTCTGGATCGAAGCACGCCGTAGCTCTCTCTTTAGAGAAAAACACCCCTACTGTATGGATAAGTTGATAGCATGTTTTTCTCTCAAGATTTGACCCGATGGTACTCTCGTGTGGATCACGAAGAAAACCCCGAACCTCAAATACTCATGCTCAAAATATATGATAATTATGTATATAATCTTTACTAAAGTCTGAGAACAATTTTGACAAGAATTGGAAGTGAATATTTAATGAGAATTTCTTAGGTTATGTTTGGTAAAAATAGCTGATAGTTGATAAGCTAGCTTATAGCTTATGGCGTATAGCTGAAAAGCTAGCTTATATAATAAAAGTGTTTGGTAAAATTAGCTGATAAGCTAGCTGGAATAAAAAAATTCAACTAGCTTATTTGAAAAGCTACCTAAAGAAGTTTTTCAAATAAGCTCGAGCTTTTTAAAAAAGCTCGTCCTACCAAACGAGACTTATTTGAATATAGAGAGCTTATAAGCTAACCAAATAAGCTGTAAGCTAGCTTATTTGTCTACCAAACACAACCTTAATGAAATGTCATGATTATGGTGCTCCAATTTATAGGTGCAAAAGCCTATTGGAATTTGGAACGTCTGAGGGCAATTAAGATTAATTTTGCAGCAACTAATAAATTGAGACGTTTATAATTAAAGGTTGTGGGCAATTATGAATTTCTTGGAATGTTTTTTGGAACAAAGAAAGATTATTGCACCAATATTATTATTTTTAAAATCAGAAATTATCTAACACATAATTGATAATTTTACTAGACTTTCAAATTAAAAGTTATTTATTATTACCAATATGTGTAGTCAAAATGAGATGAACCTCAGATGTTGGGTTAGAACAATTTATTCGAATACAATGCATCGAGAATGGAAGAGGTGAAGCCTATAATATTTCGGCTTTGATGGCTTTACAACCACGAATTAGTAAAACAAAAAGTCCAATCAAATGATTTAAATTTTAAGAGGAGACACATGTGGTAAGTGTGAGTGTTTTCAGACACAGAAAATGGCTCAAAAGCCTCAAATATTGGAACTTGAATGTCTTATTGCAGCACACACCACTAATTTAGCCAAGAGTTTGACTGAGCAGCAAGGGCCATTTCCTATTGGCCTCACATAGTGCACCATCACGACAAATCATGATCGTGTCGTGTTTATATTTCACTGTCGTAATCTCATTTATTCTGTTTTGTTTGAACTTAAATATGACAAATTGACAATAAATTTAAATTTAACTAAGTTACTTATTTCATGCATTTCATATCGTGTTTTGGGTCGTATTGCATCGTGATTATCTAATCGTTTATCTCAATAATTTTGTTTTCTTCATATCAGCGTATTCGTGTTGTGCCAGCCACTGCAGCTATTGATCCCGAATCCTTGTGCAACTAGAAGTTAATTTATTTGAATTAGATTTGATTTCTTAAAAAACATATGACAATGATTGAATAATATTATTTATATATTAATAATATCTTGGAAATCTAAATTGGATTTAGACCTTTTCTTTTCTAAAGATTCATTCAATACACCCAAATTCTAAAAAATATTATAAGAATTGATTTAAGTGGTTAGAAAACGTTCCAACTGGGCCAAAAGCGTGAAAATCCTTAGACCCCAACATCAGCCTCTCTCTAACAGCCAAATACACAACCCATAAACCATCACAAGCAAGATAGAGATCATTAACAAAAACCAAAACGTCGAGCCCAACTCACTAATACATTCCAACCAAAAAAAGCTTATTTCAAGTAGGGTTCAACTGGGCACAGCCTAAACAAAACAAACAACAGGGAAATCAGTTTCTGTTATTAACATTATCATCAAGCTACGAAAACAGAGCTTAAACACCCAACAACAAAAAATAAAAGAGAGAGAGAGAGAGAGAGAGAGAGAGAGAGAGAGAATCCTTTTACAAATAATCTTAACACAATGACCCACAAATCAATCAAGCTGGAACAATCTCGGGCTCCAGAGGGCTCGAGCGCGACCCCTCATTGTTATCCTCCACGGTTTTACTATCTCCACTCTCCTTTCTTTCTTCCTCCTCAAACCCTTGCTTGAACCTATCATAATTCGTGGGCTCACTTGACTTAAACGGGCGCTCCCCAAGAACTCGAATCAAGTCATCCTGATGCAAGACTTCCTTTTCGAGCAGCAGCTCGGCAATCTTGGTCACATGGTCCTTGTGCTCCTCTAACAATTGCACTGTTCGGGTGTATGCTTTCCCGACCCATTCCCTGACCTCATTATCTATAATGGCAGCTGTTTTGCTGCTGTACGGTTTTGACATCTCCATACCATCCTCCCTTTGAGGAAAGGACAGCAAACCGACTTTCTCGCTAAAACCATAGATTGCCACCTGGGCATACGTCATTTTAGTTACCTTTTCAAGGTCGTTTTGGGCCCCTGTCGATATTTTTCCCAGCAAGACCTAAATGGAAATAAAAAAAAAAATGTATTTTCAGTTCCCTATAAAAGAAGTTGAGAAAAAAAATATATATAAATGGTTTCGAAGTTTTACCTGCTCAGATGCACGTCCCCCAAGGGTCATGCATGTCATGTCAAAGAGCTGCTCTTTCGTCATGAGAAGGTTTTCGTTCGGAACATACTGAGCAAAACCGAGAGCTGCGGTCCCACGAGGGACAATCGTGACTTTTAGCAACGGCTCGGCGTGTTCTAGAAACCAGCCGACAACAGCGTGGCCTGATTCGTGGTAAGCCACTGTCCGCCTCTCCATCTTGCTGATAACCTACAAGAACGAAACCAAAAGCTCAAAATTTATTACACTCTTTATCAAACCCAATGAAATTTCACTACTGCACACGACGAATATATAGATTCCTAAGTAATGGAGCATTTGAGAGAAATAAAAAAATAAAAATAAAATAAGCATATAACGGAAGAATTGAAACCTTGTTCTTCTTCTCAAGACCCCCAATCACACGGTCGATAGCCGACTCAAAGTGCTGCATAGTGATAATCGAACTCTCGGTCCTAGCAGCAATCAAAGCCGCCTCGTTACAGACATTAGCAATGTCGGCCCCAGCAAACCCTGGAGTCAGGGCCGCAAGCCTCTGCGAGTAATACGAAGGCTCCTGGTCAAGCTTCAGTTTGTTCAGATAGATACGGAATATCTGGTCTCGGCCCTTTATATCAGGCTTATCAATGGTGATCTGGCGGTCAAACCTCCCGGGCCTCAACAAGGCCTTGTCCAAAATATCGGGCCGGTTAGTGCCCGCCAGCACGACAACGCCAGCTGTCGTCCCGAACCCGTCCATCTCGACGAGCAGCTGATTCAGCGTGCTCTCGCGCTCGTCATTTCCTCCCGAGAAGGCTCCACGGCCGCGGGCCCGGCCAATTGCGTCTATCTCGTCGATGAAAACAATGCTCGGGGCACACTGCCTTGCCTCTTGGAAGAGGCTCCGAACTCTAGAGGGCCCCACACCGACAAACATCTCCATGAAATCCGAACCCGATATAGAGAGGAAAGGCACGCCGGATTCGCCTGCAGTTGCCTTAGCGAGAAGGGTTTTCCCTGTCCCGGGAGGGCCCACGAGGAGAGCGCCTTTTGGGATTTTCGCGCCTAGCTCCTCGTATTTCTTGGGGTTCTGAAGGAAGTGCACGAACTCCATGATTTCCTGTTTCGCCTCGTCACAGCCGGCTACATCTTTGAAGAAGACCTGATCACAAAATTAAAAAACGAAGCTGATTAAGCCTAAATAAACCCTAAAGATGGAACTAACTACACCGTTGTATACCTATCCTTGCGAAATCTTCAATCTTTTTTTTTTTTGGATTTTTGTCAGGAATTTTTAGTTACTTTTTTCATTTCTTAGGATTCTTTTTTATGCTTTTAGTTTTCTTAACAATATGCTTGGATATAAGATATTTTGATTTTGTTTGGATTTTTTTATTTGGTATGGTTAATTTTGAAAAAAGTGGTATGGTTAGTTGTTAGTGAGATTTTGAGTTTATATTAAAATAATAAAAATAATGAAAGTTGATTTGATCTAAAAGTATGAGAAAAAAGATCATGTGAAGTGATGGTTAGTTAATAAAATTATGTGAGTAGATGAATAGTAAATTAAAGTTGATGTAATGTATAAGAACGATTGAGTGATATTATTTAATTATATTGATAATATTGAAAATAGTGAGGTTGAGCTAAAGTTGAGTTAGATTTTGAATTAAAAAAATGATTGGTTAAGGTTATAGTTTAATGGGGACTATCTAACGAATCAAAATAAATTGAGCACGACTAAATTATGCTGACCTTATTCTTGGAGTTTTTATCCATCTTCGTGACATGAGCTTTTCCAATATTGAAGATTCCACGGCCGCCCTTCATACCAGGACCACCAATACCAATCCCGCTTCTCCTTCCCATGTATATGATAGTTCCTAAAAGCAACAATGTAGGACCAAACTTCATGAGTTCTTGGAACCAATTCATCTCAGACATATAAGTGACCGGGATATGATCGTGAGGGTCGATTCCTAATGCTTCCTGGGCTTCCTCCAGCTTCTCCTCAAAAGATTCCACACTTCCAATGTTGATAAAATACTTATAATGGCTCGGGGTTTTTCTATCATTCGTTTGACCAACTGGACCCTGAACAGAGTCGACTTTGGTTGAGTTGCCATTAGGCTGTGAATTCTTTATGTATACCTTTGCGACTGACTTGTTCGAAACAACTATGTGATCCACCAGGCCAGGTTCAAGTAGCTTGTTCTTGAATTCTTGGAAACTTATCTGAAATACAACAAATATATAATCAAAAATTTCAATAAGAAACATAACCACCACAAGTACAGATAACAATAATAATACTCAATCACTAATGAATACATCATATCCAGACCATTTGTATCAATTCTGATTATGCATGTTGTTAGCATAGGAGGTGGTATGGAGAATATCTTCCTTTTCCCAATACCAAATTTCAAATTTTTATTTAAAAAAAATATGGAGTGCGTATACTGTTGCACCCATCTGTAATGTGAGTGGACAGCTACCAAATGGAAGCTAGTACTGGACTTTGATCCATGAAAAAGAAAACAAGAGTAAAGAAATATGGAAAAGTAAAAGAAGAAAACAATAAAAGCAATGGTACAAAATCTGGCTCAAGGTTTAACGTATGTTAAAGTGGTACAAAGACAACAGGCATTCACTTGAACCACCCGAAAATGTTCCCATAAAGTTATTTCCTAAGTCTTGGCGCAACTGATATGCAATGAGTAGGAACTAAAATCAAAACTCTGATAGCAAAGAAGGAAGCAGGGCATTGCCTGCAGACACCAGGTAATTGTTCAGAGTAGCAGGAAGAAATTCACCTGCTTCTGGTCATTAGGACTACCAATTATTGATGAAAGCACAAACGCAATCAACAACGAGGGAAGAAGGTAATTTTGAATATACTTCGACATTTCGGAATTGCTCCATTGTTCACCTGCTCCTGAGTCCTCTGCATTCAGAAATGATAACAATACTGAAATTCATCGTGCACCCACATCGAAAGGCACGTTGACTCAGCTAAATTAAACAACATTTCTACAAGACACTACAGCATCCATCAATAAATTCGCCAAGAAATAATGCATTTTTTCAGCATGAAAGCTACCAAGGTTAATTACCTTTGGCCCCATCGGCCCTAGACTTCTGATTGTTTTCTTTCGGGATTTCAGACTTGTTCTTTGGATAGTAGTTTTCGTATTCTACAACCAACCCATCACAGAAAAAAAAAAAACATAATCAAACTTTCATAACCACCAACACCATCAAAACAACAACAACAACAACAATAAGAACAATAACAACACAACAACAAGCTTATTAAAAAAAATCAGGGCGCACAATCCGTCTTACTCTTCTTCTTAGGCGCTTCACTGCAGAACGTCCTTCGCAGGCTAGGGTTTCCAAACACTGACTTGAATTCCTGGAACAAATTACTCCTCGATACTTGTTTACCACCTCCAATCGACGTCAAATAGCTCCTCACCAACCCTAGACCCCCGTGTTCGCACGAAATGACCGCATTCCCCGACGAAAACTCCGCCGGGACCGCAGACCGCAGCCCATAACTGCCCGAGAAAGCACCCTGCCATAAAAAACCACATGAAAAACACCTTAAATCGATCAGCTTCACGCGTAAAATTGAATTGTCGGCGATGAATTACAAGGAGCCCTTTTTACTTTGTTTGTCGATGCGCGAGATGAGCGATACACCGACCGTCCGATTCGATAAAACATGGTTTTTCCGATTGAGATCAGCGCATGAAAGCTTGTGCTCAATTCAAATCCTTTGTCGTCGTGGTTAAGCAGATGATACAAAGTTCTCCGATTTTACGACATCGATCGTGAGTAGTGAGTTGTGAGTTGTGTGACTTGTGAGTTTTTTTTCGTGCCCAAAAGAAGAGAGAAGGTTGGGTGGTGAATTGACGATTTTAGGCTTCACGGGTTGGCAAATTAATCGGCCGTTTCACGCTTCTGGTTGGGGTTTTGGTAATTGAGCTGCTGATCTTATGGTGGTTGTGTTATCCACAACTCAGCTGCGAGACCCACTTATAGAGAAGTAGGATAACCGACCTTAAGGCTTATTTGGGCCTCCGAATTTGGCCCAATAGTTTGTAATGGGCCTAAATGTTTTACTTCACTTCATTTTCTTATTGGGCCCAAAACCTGACATACCCAATTTGAAAACTAAAATTTCTTATAGTTGTAAACGATCCGAGCAGATAAACGCGACCGAGCTGGATTCATTGAAGAGTTAAATTATATTAAAATTTCGAACATATTGTGTAAAACCCTTTATTTTCCAAGCCTTGAACGAGCTCGTGTTCGGTCTTGTTTGATAAACAAGATGCACTAATCCAAATTCACGAGCAGCTTATCTTATTGCTTTTAATTGCTATGTATTTAAACTATTGAGTCGTTGATGAATTTGATTAATGGAGTTTCAAATAATATTTGTAGACAAACTCAAGTACTAACTAACAATACCTATAGTTACTAGCAATAGCATGTGTAATGTAAACCTATATGTAATGATCTTATGATCATGAGTATGTCAAAGTAAAATTATAATTTGCACAAAATGTGTATTCATGTATGTATAGTTGCACCTTAATCTTTCATATTCAACTGAATTTGTTTTATGGCGAAGCTTGTCTCGTCAGCCAAAGGTTATCTCATTCAGATGTGAATAAAAAAAAAAAAAATCAATCTCATTTCATTTTTCTTTCTAGTTCCACGTACACATTAAAAATAGTCATTATCGTATATTTTTTAATAATAATAATAATAAAAATATTCACCACTCACATCCTTTTAATTACCAATGACTATTAATAGATATAGTATTTTTCTATAAGTAGAAAATAAAACTTAGTATGAATATGACAGGGATTTCACATATGAAATTGAGAACTCATATTATTAACATGATTGAAAAGGCAACATTCGCCTTCAAATCACTTTTACAAACTACTATATATTATAATTTATACACGAAGAAATTTTAAGTCCACTTAACTAACCCTGCTATCAATTTTATTTTTGCGTCATGACAAATAAGGATACACATATATGATATAACCTACAACAAGGCTCGAAAAATTCCCTTTCAAATCAAACCTAATTGTGAATAGGTTGGAGACCAAGCTAATGAATGTGGTGAAGCCGGTGAAGAAAGATTTGACTCGTGAGAAGCTAATGAAGATGAATTAGAAGGTGCACATGATGAATCTATTAACGGCCTTCTAATCACCAATGGCACCATATCTTCAAGCAGGCCTTGGTGGCCCATAAACTCTGATTCAACCACCTGGGCCTGATACACATGCCGCCCAGAATCAATATTAGCAAAGCCCACTTCAGACATATTGTCTGTTTGGGCTGAAAAGTCTTGGGCTTTGTATTGGACTTCTTGTACTGCCCCTTTTTGTTTCTTTATGGGTGGATCTGCCTGGTGCTGAGTATTATTATTATTCTTATTATTATTATTATTATTATTATTATTATTATTATTATGTACAAAAAATGGGTAAGTGAAGTGAAGATGGAGGCCTTCATAGGTGATGATGAGAGTTTCTGGATCTTCAATGGACCTTTCAACCTGTTTTTTTGCATTGCATTGTGGATTTGTGCACCTGTAATAGCTCCTACATGCATATGTACAAATTTTGAGAAAATAAATTAATATAATTTCGCGACATCAAATTTAACATTGTAACTCGTAGCAGGTATAAATTTTGTGACAACACATATTAAAAGACACATTTATATCTTCCTTATGCTTGTAAGTTAATATAACAACTTTCTATATATCACTCATGTGCATGAGACAAATTAATATGCATGTCTTGAGAAATAAGTTTTTTTTTTTTTTCTAACAAATATTGCATTCTCAATGTAAGAAAAAATTAAAAGAAAAAAATGTGGGAATTAAGTTAAAAAGAATCAAATTAAAATATTTACCTTGGATTTGGACTATTCTTGATGGATTTCTGGCCATATTTCCTCCACTTATAGCCATCATCGGCCATGACACTACCACAACTCTTTATTCTCAAAGTATACTTATTGTAATCATTGCTAGCTTTGCTCAAATTGTAACCTCTTTCAAGCATTGAAATTCTATCACATAAAATTAAACAAACAATAATAAGTAATTAAGTTAAACAATCATATTGTTTCAACATATTTACGTATATTGTCTAACTAAAATGTCATATATTCTAAAAAAATAATATAAATAGAAGTATAACATTTCATCGAATAAATATGCATTTTTATTAATAAAATCCAAAAACCTTTCAGCTTCTGATTTAGCTTCAAAGTTGGTATAAGATGATAGAGCACTTTCCATTTCTTCGACAGTTGGGCCCGAATAAGCTCCCGAAACAAGCCCAAAATCGTTTGGCGGGCCTCGATATGTTTGCATTGCCCGATTAGACTCTGGAAAAAATGGAGAAATGCCGTCGAGAAGTTCTTTCAAGAACTCATCTTCATGAGCTCCTCCTACCAACTCAATTAACTCCTCCATTATCATGTGATGGTGTGTTTATTGAAAGGTATTATAATTTCACAAGAAGTGTGTGTGGATATATAACAAATTAAATAAAAGGTGTTGAAACTTGAGAAATAGAGTTAAGGTTAGGTTTGTTAAGAGTGGAGCAGATAAAAGAGGAAGGTTTTATATATAAGTTCTTATTATAGAACTTATAGCACAAGCTGAGCTTTAGTTGGTGGTTGCTACTTATATTGAATAAATTTGGAGATAAGGTTTTGTTGCAGTTACGTTTGCATATTTTGTAGTACTATCTTTACGTGTGTGTGTGTCTAATTTTACTTATTTATTTTATTTGTATTATTTTATTTATGAAGTTATAAGGTGGAATTTTTCTCTATAACTAGGTTGACTTTTGAAAAAATTCCAATCCAGTCATGTGTTGAACAATTAAAGCCTGGGCCAATTTTGTTGTTTTTGTACAAATTGTTTGTGGCTTGCATGGCAAATGGCCAAACATTAGATAATAATTTGTTAATTTGAAATAATTGTGTTATTGAGATTTAAAATTGAAAATATATAAAAATTTGAACTAAATATAGTGAGTATTACACATTTAGGAATTAAGCCCATCACTCCATTAACTCCTGTAACTTCTTGTTGTATAATATTACAATTCACAGAAATTTTTGTATGGGACAATCTAACATTTGGGTGAGTCAACTGTCATAATACTTCAACAAAACTGCTTACTTATTTTAATATGGTCATATTTATGATTAGAGTGTGACATTTTTTTTATAAAAATGTGCACATTTATAGAATGAACATGTGTTAGAGCATCTCCAATTGCTCAATGTCTATTTTGAGATGAATGATGTAGAGAAAGGAAAATAAATAAAATTGTCTCCAATGGTTAATCTCATTTGTGAGATAATTTGACACATGTAATATAATGATTGGTTGGTAAAAACATAAATATAACATAAATAATATAATATAAAATGGAAGATGTCTAGAAGTCTTTCTAGATGTAGAAAGACTTCTAGATTTATTGAATGTCACATTGGATTTTGGAGGTTAGATGGCAATGAAAGAGAGCAATCCATGTACCACTGGAGATGCTCTTACATGTCAGCCTAATGATTAGGTTGACCTAATTAGCTTTGCGAGGATATATCAATTCAATTAATCTAAATTTGGAAGACTTATTTTGACTATTTGGTATAACAAAAAAGACAATAAGGTCCTGATTTGTGTGTGATGTACCACAATTGTATTTGAACTACCCATCTTTCAAATTGGTCCTATCATTCTCTGTTTTCTCATTTTCCACCCGTTGTTTATTTGTCTTGTTATGGTGTTCTGATAAGATGTGTAAACAAACATATATAGGTGTACAAGTTGTTGAACACAATATTCATTATTTTTTCAATAAAAATAAAAATACATATAATGAATATCATTATTTTGTTTTCACGTGCTACATTCCAAAAATATTTTACAAATTATTGAATTATCTCATTACAATATTATCAAAATTAGCAATTTAATATCTCACTCTACATGAGTTGATAAATAAGTAGATTAATTATTCTGTTCTTTTAGAGCGTGTCGCTCCAATTTAAACTATGCATATTTAAAAAAAAATAAAAAATATTATAACTGATATACACTGAGTTTCTAATGGTAATTACCATTTTTATAAGTATATGATTATATCCTATTTATAGGTATTAATCACTTTTGTTTAAGGTGGACCAAACATACCTAAACTATATACATAGCATTCAGGAAAGCACAAGAGTCAACTGCTAAAGGAGGAATGATTTTTATTTAATGTTACTTTATGTCAAGGGTTTGACGTTTGGTATATAATTTGCTTGACCCCTGATTTTCTAACAGCAGTTGCAAATATAAATTGATTGATTTCTGTTTTTTTATTATTAAGTTTGCAAAATATATTACTCTTTGACATGCTTAGGTAATCAGAAGAAATTACTTCCTTATAATAATAAAAATAATAAAAGGTTCTCAATCCACTGCTAAAAAAATCAAATCCCAACATAAAATTCAATGACCAAAAAATCTTACGTATATTTCAATATTATAATTTCTGTTGAAATTGAATTACTCCAACATCACTTTTACCAACGGTCTATTGTCGTAAGAATTTCCATTGAAATCTGTAATTTATATAAAAATTGCATATCACGTTCAATAATTCAAACTGTTGCAATCATTAGAAAAAAACCAACAAAAGCTTTAACGAAAAACCAATTTTAACGGAATATATTTGTTGAAATTATCGTTGAATTTTTTTTTTAAAACTTATAATATTAAAATTACCGTTGAAATTATATTTGAATATATATTGCAAATGAATTTTCTGTTAAAGTTAGATGATTTTCAAGTAGTGCACATAAAATCAATCTCTTAATCGTTTACCTAAAAAATAACGTCATTTACGACTTAAACTAGAGTCGATTCTCAAAATATATTGTTCAACAGAATGTGAAACCCGTTTTTTCCTTACTCTTCTTCTCTTTTGTTTAATCCGAGCAACAAAACTCATGTCTAATTCATTCGAGAAAAAATCAAATACATTTTTCTGGCTCCATCTAAGATAAAGAAATTTCAATTATTTTTGTTTACATATGCATAGGGGTTGACTTTTAGCATAAGTCCGAAGGATAGTTAAGGCAGCGTGGGCCGGTTAAGGACAAAAGGTGGGCTTATAGGTTTTGGATTTCAATTAATGATATTTTTATTTTTATGGTGTACTGATGAAAGAGAGGTGAAAGAGCAGCTTGTGACCAAATCATGGAGTGGACCTTTCTATAAAAGTCAACCACCCCCCTAACCCTACCCACCCCCTACCCCCACCGGGAGTGGTTGACACGTGTGAGGAAGGCAAATCAGGAATTTTGGAGGGCCAAATTGGAATGGAATGGTGAAAGGGGGTGCGTGTGTAAATTGTAATTAAGCATGTCTTAATATTTTTAGAGATATGTAATTCTAAATGAATTTTGATTATGATTGCATTTTGCTATTTGTGTTGTTGCGAATATAGTTCAATTCGTTTTGTACAACACTACAATAAAATAATGATTTTTTTCTATCAAAAAGGTTCTAGCAGAAATATATCTAAATTGAGTTTTCAACGTTAATTGTAATGAATATTTCAATAGTAATTCATTTGTCAGGATTTATCGATGGATTGCATTGAAATTTTGGTTGAATTTTGACGATTCCAACGAAAATTTTCCAATGGTTGAAATATAGAAACAAAAAGATATTCCAGCGAAAATTTCATGTTCAAACGGAAATTATTATGACAATATACTGGTGGAATAATGGTCATTGAAATTATCGTATTTCAACTATAATTCTAAGGTATATTTAATTCCAACGGAATATTTTAGTGTCGATTTCCGTTGGAACTTTTCAAATGGAAGTTATGCCAGTGGAATATTAGTTGTAATTTTCATTGAAAATTTATACCATTGATTTTTTTTGTTGGAATATATATATAGTATTTTTTTGTAGTGCAAGTCGGAGCTCGGTTGGTTTGTTTACTTCAACGAACCAAGCTAGAACAACTAATGAGCTCGCTTATTAAACGTGCTAAGTCGAACTCGTTCGCGAACAATTGTTTGTTTTCACTTTTTATAGGTTTCGAGTGAAAAGTTGGGTCGAGCATGTTCGTGAACGCAAAAATCATATTCACAAACAACTCATTTATGATTTCAGGCTTATTAAACGAGTTCAAATTGTTGTAAAAATTTAACCTTATGCGAAAACCGCTTTACCCCAGGAGCATTCATATCGAATAATTGAGAATCAAACCGAATAAAAACGGAAGCGTACCGTACTTCATGAATTCATTTGCTTGATAATTCTCGTGTGTTGTGTTCTTCCAAACGATCTTGTTGGACTGGTATGGTCTTCCAAACGATCGAACCTTATAGCAGATTTTGATCTGTAGTGTTTGTATTGGATATATGATTTTGTTATATTCAATCATTTTGAAGTGAGAAGGTGAGTGCTTTTAAAGGGAGAAAGCACCCCTTCATAAATCTGCTCGTGTCTTTTCGTCGTTTGGGGCCATAACCAAATAAATAAGAAATATTGATTTTCAGTCGGTCCCTCAACAAACAGAAAATCACATAATGGTATCTACACTTTTAAATTCATAACAATTTGATACTCTCTTTATTCAAAATTACAAATTAGTAGATCACTTTAATTGAATAATATTATGACAACTATACACATTTAATTTACATATGTTGTCCAATAAAATATTTCTAACAATCTCCCACTTGGACTACATATGCAACCGAACAAATGTGTACTACTTTATGAGCTCAAACTTTGTTGTCACAAACAAGAGTATCCTTTACCAATCTCGTCCATTAATCGTATGACATAGGACTAAAGAGACCTTCATCATTTTAGCATGAATCAACCCATCAATAATCACACATATCAATACAATTAAATGACATAGATCAATCATGGAAGTGTAGCATGAAAATTACATGTAATGTGATCTTTCATGCCTATTTTCAACTGGCCACTTTATTCCATAGTGAGATCAATATAAAATCAAAATTACAGAGTATATTGCACCGAATACTTTATATCTGATCAGAAATATCCAAACACACATATACAATATGTCTATAGAACAATTAATACAGACTCCCACTAAAACCAAGTATCCTGAAATTGTGTCACACCCATTCGAACAGTATGTTCATGAAAGACCTTGGGTATTAGACCTTTAGTAAGCGGATCCGCAATCATTGAGTTTGTCCTTACATGTTCTATAGCAACTTGTGCACTCTGTACTCTTTATTTTATAACTAGGAACTTTATGTCGATATACTTTGACTTAGTTAAGTTCCTAATATAATTGAAATATAATACTGCTGAATTGATGTCACAATAAAACTTTAGTGGTCTTTCTACGTTCTTAATAATATGCAGCTCAGTGACATTTTGCAACTATATTCCATTATTGGATGTCTCGTAACAAGCTACAAAATCAGCTGTATTGACATCCACCAAAATCAGAATCAATATACCCGATGATCTCCAAATGATCTGATTTTCAATAAGTGAGCATGCCTTAGTACTCTGTAAGTACTT